TATTTACAGAATTTCGTGCTTATGATTGAAACATTTTATATTATAAATCCTTCTGTAAAGAGCATCTCTGCAAAGAATTAATTAAAATTAAAATCGTTTATCAAATCCTTAAGGAGTTCTGATCATAAGTACAAAATTTTGTGAATAGGTCACAAGATATTTTAAGGAGAAATTCCTCCACAATCCTTGAAAAGCCAAGTCTTTCTCTTAAAACGTCATTTTCTTAGTTTTTAGATAAAATTCCTATTTTACCCCTTAACTTATAATGGAGAAGTTGATGGAGTTAAGTTAACCAGAAGACTACTAATGCAACAAAATGACATAATTTAAGGACGAGAGAAACTATTAGTAGAATTCAAGAACGAATAAGAAACTCATGATATAGCCTTCGCTACAATCTACCTTAAAAGTTTCTACCTTTGGAAAAAAAAAAAAAAAAAAAAAACAAACTAGGTGCGCCTTGCAGATCATAAAATTTGACTTCCTATTCTTTGGAATTGTCTGGGTAATAATGGATAAATCACGGCATGATTGTAGTTCCATTTTCATAGAATTTATTAAACATCGTTTTCAATTGTATTCAATCAACGTCCCAATGTATTGCGAATTGTGAATACGTGTATTCCAAGATATCCTACAAGCATAAGAAGTGCATAATATTGGTTTCATGCCCTCACTAATTCTTATTATTTATTTATTTGATTATATGCGATATTTTATACCAATCTATTTTAAAGTAGAGGGTTTGAACTGAAGATATTGTGGGTTGAAGAAAAAAGCCCTAACTATTAAAACAATCCATCACTTGCATCTCACTCTTGTTAGTGTTGGAAAATTAAAAGGAAAATATTTTAGGGATATGATTTAATTAGTGATTTTATATGATTTAATTAGGAAGTTGATATGTTTTGATTTGGCATAAGTTTCCTTGTCTTGTGGACAAATTATTGTTTTGATCAAAACGATTGCTAGAAGAGTCGATCACTAAATCCTTACTCCTCCTCTTTTTCCTTCTAATTCCCAAACACATCAACATTCCGCTTTTACTTGGCTTCAAGTCCGGAAGAATAGCAGTGAGATTTGTGGAACTAATCATGCCTTTACACCTCTCGTCATAGAAGCTGTTCTATTTCCTAGTATTTCTCCTTTGTAATATTATAAATACCTCCTTATCGAGAAGAATAAAGAATTGAAGTAGTATTTGAGAATTGTGAAATTGTAGTCTTCAATGTTCAAGTACAAAAAATGACCACAACAGCTTTGATTGCCGCCATTTTCTCCGTCTTGTCTACAGCATCCAATCCTCCTCGATTATTGTTAAAATAGACATCAGTTCATCTTTGACAACCAGAGCAAGCAATGTACTCTCATAGCTCTAGAAATACTATGATCTCCGCCATGCTTAACGTCCTTTCACTATTGCAAAGATGTTCATCATAATAACAAGCTCTTGGGACCGATAAACCTTCTCTACAAAGGCAGCCGGAATTACCATGCTGCAGAATGCATTAAGTATAATGGCATCATAAGTTCCTCGAGGAACTTACGTCACAATGTCACTAATCCTGCTACAAAGGGCGGAACCATGAATTTTATAGCGGATGGGCTAGCAAAAATTATAGCTAAAAATGTAATGATTAATTTTTTGGTATACATTCGGTTACTAGTCTTTCTAGAAATAATATAAATAATTTCGAATAAAACAGGCTAGTTCATGGCTATTTTTCCATAGCTTTTAACATAAACATAAAAACATACGAAAATGCAACCAAAAGAAATCATATTTGGATCCGATTTTTACATGTGTAAAAATTCAATCCGCCCATGTGTAAAAATTCAATCCGCCAATATATGGCTTATGGTTATTGATCTGGTTGTTTAACCAAGCAAAGCAAAATTAGGCGACGGCTGGGCTTTGAGGATTAAGAGAAGGAGATCCAAGCCGGCTCCGATGAAGGGTTAGTTGGTTTCGATGGAGGAGAGAGTGATAGAGATGCAAAGGGGGAGAAAGTTAAGGTGGCGATACGAGAGAGAGAAGTCATTGGGTTATATGAAAAGACCCAGTTATAGCATTAATAAAATTTTTACACCGGCCGTAGAGATGGTCAAGAACGATATGTGAAAATAACGCATGTATTTACCGTGAAAAGTTTTATTCAAACCCATTTATCTTCTTTTTACATTCAACTTATAGTTTTTAATCTTGAAATTCTGAATCTGCCCAACAATTTTCTTTTTACACCCATAATGAAAAAGAACAACAAAAATAAAAAATAAAATTCCAACACTAGAAAATCCGGGCTGTGCCATCACTCCAAACCCTAACCACCCCCAATTTCTACCCCTTCCCAACCCCCCACCGCCATCTTCTTATCACCCACAAACCCCCCAAATATCTCAGCCATCAATGTCCCTTTCCCGACCTTTCGCCGGCTACACAATAGCTCTCTCTTCCATGCAGTCCTTCTAACATGTCCGAATTATGTCGAAATTGTCGACGTGTCGAATCTAATTGTGTTGGACCATGTGTTAATAATACCATTAATTTTTTCAAAAAAAAAAATATTGGCATGTTTCTTTTGGGTTTTTTAATCATTGGTTGCTGGGAATAATGTTTTAATTTCCAAATTGTTGTGGGTGGAAAGGGAGGCGGCGGTGGGGAATTAGGGAGGTTAGAAATTGGGTGGTTGAGGTTTGAAGAGATAGGATGGCTGGAGTTGCCTATTGCTAAATTATTATTATTTTCTTTTTGTTCTTGTTGGGTGTAGAAAGAGAATTATTGGGTACATTTGGAATTTGAAGATAAAAAATAAGAAGTTACGTGTAGAAACAGAATAAATGGGTCTAAATAAAATTTCTCATTTACTATGTAGCAATGTCCCCACTAGGGAAACCCTCTAGTTAATATAGGATTAATATATACTTTGCTACTCAAAGAATAAGTAGGACTTCCTACTCAAAACTATTCGTTGTGATTCATACAATTTTGTGTTTATGATTAGAACTTTCATACTATAAATTTTTTTTTTTTTTTTTTTTTTAAAAAAAAAAGGGGACAACTGGTAGCAAACCATGGCTATCCACCCATTCCAGGGCCGGAAAAACTCACAGAGGCATTTCAGCCTTCTCCTAGCCATAAGTTTGGCTTCCACACCAGCAGCAGGTTTCGAACCTGAGACCTCCAGTTTTTAGTTTGAAGGAAGCCTCGCAATCTACCCTTTACCACTAGGCCACCAGCTAGTTTAGTTAAAACTAAGGTCATTTAGTTATTACAGAAATGATCTTTACAAAGTGATTCATAATATGAATGGTTCTGATTTTAAACATAAACCTCTATACTTCGAACACGAAGAGTTTTAAGTAAGAATTCTTACTCATTTTTTAGTAGCCAAACATTATTCTTAATAAGCTTTTTAGCCAAAATAGTCATTGAGATTTGCATAACACATAATTTTGGTCCTTGAGATCTGAAACCAATAGAAGTGGTTCCTGAGATTGTCCACCATCAATCATTTTGGTAATTTTGTTCAAAATTATGTTAGATAAGGATCAAAATGATAAATATACCAACAATTTAATAAACAATGGGCCAAAATGATTTGACAAAATTAAGGGTATTTTGGTCATCTTATTCTTATTTAATGGAGATTTTTCACGGAATGACGAAAATGATTGATGGTGAACAAACTCAAAAACCAATTCTATTGATTTCATATCTCAGAGACCTAAAGTGAGGAGCTATGTAAATCTCAAACATTATTTTGGCTAAAAAGCCTTCCTAATATAGGGCCAATTTAAATACATCATTATTTCCGTTTCTTAGTGAGTGCTACATGATTATAATAAGGACTATTTGTTCATATATAAAGTATTAGGGTCCACTTGCTTCCCAAAAACCTTCCTTGGGCTAAGCCCAGCCCAGCCCAGCCTGTTGGTAGTTCCGCCGGTGCCTGCCAGTTTGTTAAACGCAAGGCACTGAGGACAGAAATGAAGTAACACAATTATCAACCACGAGCTGATGGCTTAATAATAGAAAACGGATTGCAAGTCTTTTTTCAAATTAAAAACTGAAGATTTCAGGTTCGAAACCTGTTGTTGGTGTGGAAACCAGATTTGTGGCTAGGGGAAGGATAATCATGGTTTGTCACTTGTTGTCCTTTTTTTTTTTTTTTTTTTAAAGTAACAGACAATTATCAGCAGGCCGAGAGCAAGGGCTTTGTAAGTTATACCATAGCATCGTTTATGTGTTGGACAAAACATCTGCATTTGTGGCAATTAATTGATTTATGAGAACATTTGTTTGAAAAAAAAAATCGATTTGATTTAAATTAATCTTCAATTTTGGCAATTAAGCCGCAATCTTCTCTGCTTAAGATACTGCTAATTGTCTCTTTATTACACAGATACAATTTCACCAAAGTTTTCAAAACACCAAAATTTAGGATATGTAGAAAAAAAAATTATTAATTCCTCTTTTCTATATATTTTCTAGTAGTGCTAGCAGAAACTTAGGAACACCATAATATATTAATTAATGGTAAAGAAAACATATTTAACGTAAGAGCTTCAAGTTTTTACTTATACATATACTCAAAACTCAAATTCTAATGTCCAAAACATAATTGTAAATATTTACTTCATCACAAAGGTAGAAATTAATTAAATTTGACTAGTTTCATAATTCAAATTTGAATTAATTAACCTTGTAAATCGTTTGGTATATGAATATCTAATGCTGATATTTTGGTATATATTTAACAAATTAGGATCAAACAGGCATAGATCACTAATGGTCTTCCTCATCATCAATACTATGAATTACAAGTTTTTAGAAAATAAATTCGCAAAAAAATTAGGAAATTAATTAGGTGCAAAGTCAAACAAAATGACAATTGAAAACTCTCCTAAATGAACCCACCATATAATATGTTTACTTTGTGCTAATGCTAGTTAGTGTTAACGGTCCTCTTTGATCTTTATCGAACTCCAATATTATCACCATGGTTCTCTTAAAAAATCTTCCTAAGAAGACCCAAGGTCGAAAGAGGATCGAGATCAAGAAACTTGAGAACCTTAACAGCAAACAAGTCACCTTCTCCAAGCGCCGCGCTGGTATATTCAAGAAGGCTGCGGAACTGAGCGTTTTGTGCGGCGCTGATGTGGCGGTCATTGTTTTCTCGACAGCAGGAAAAGTGTTTTGCTATGGGCACCCTAGCGTGGACACCATTCTAGATTGGTATTGCAGTGGGGTAACTCCTGCTGCAGTGTCTGATGATACCGCAGGAGATAAAAGCCCTAATAGGGTTCCCGTGGCAGAGTTCAACAAGGAGTACATGGAGGCTATTAGGGAGTTGGAGGAACAGAAGAAGAGAGTTGCGGAGGTCAAAGAGGCGGCAAAGATGAAGAAGGTTGTGATGGGTGTAGTGGGTGGGTGTGGTGAGAGGTTTTGGTGGGAGGATGAGAGTGTTGATTTGGATGCGTTGGATGTGCAGGAAGTCGAGCATTACTTGATCGCATTAGAGGATGTGAGGAAGCAGGTTGCCGCTAGGCTTCATGAGATGAAGATTTTGAATGGGACGTTGAACCCGGGGGCGCTTCCACCGATTCCGGCAGTTCATCGACTTTGTCATCTCCCAATGATGACAAATGGTTTTAGTGGTCACGGTGGCCAATTTGGTGGTGGTTATCATGGTTTTGGGATCTAGTTTAGAGTAATTTTGATTTTTTCTTTTTTCTTTTTCTCATTTTTTGTTAATCATGTTGTTACGTTTGTGCAATAAAATGTTTATGCTCCTTTCTTTTGATAGAGCAATGCCACCTTGTGCTATATTCATAAAAATTAATTCTTGTTGGATGATTAATTTTTCTTAGAGCTTTTCGCCATGTATATATAAGTAATGCAGAACAATGAAGCAAAACACTTACCTTTTCAGATACGTAACCGAAACCAAGTTCTGTAGGTTTGATGTCAAATTAGGGTTTGGGGAAGTTCTTACTGCAGAAGTTTGGGGACTTTATTATGGTGTTTCTGTTGCTTCGCGAATGGGGTTTCACCATGTGCTTGTGGACGTGTGGTTTCTGCTATTGCTGTTCAGCTTGTCAATGTTTAGCATGACAATAAACATTAGTTCTCGATTGCTTTAGTTGTTAGACTCTAATTTTTTTTTTTTTAGTTGTCTGCTTGTATTCTATTAAAGTTCTAGAAGTTAAACTGTTGAATAGTTTTTCATGCCACATTGAGGTCTGATTACAACTCGAGACCAACCTATGTTACACTTGTATATAGCACCTTCTTGCATATGGTGTTCGCTTGCAACCACACAATTAAAGTAGTGAGAAAGATTGTTAATAGCTTTACTCAGGAATGCTCCCCTAAGACCTAGTCTAACCCTTTGAGTAAAATCCAAATTTTAGGTTCTAAACCTACCCTAACTTACTTCAACTCTTGAACCATATATGAGCTTTAACCCAAAACTCATTTTTGGAGCAAATTTAACCTAGGATTCCCTCTGGTTTAGTGGGCTGACCCACCATATATGTGTATTTTTTTAGTTTTATATTTATAAATTCATTAAATCAAACGGCTAAAATAATTTTAAAAAAAATTCTTCCATGTGTTTTATATTCTTTAATAATGTTCCACAAGTTTCAAGGTGTCGATTTAGTGATTTTTAATATTTAGGAACTCCAATCACCACTTTAGAGTACTCATTTAAGGACTTAAAGAGAATCTTTGTGTCCATAAATGAATATTGCCTCCAATAGCAGAGTCCTTATAGTAGAATCTTTAAATTTGAAGTTTTTATGCTTTTATGTGATAATTTGATTAGATGAAATTTTTTTTGTTTATGTTAACCCTTTTTTAATTAATTAAAAGTATTAAAATCTTCAATCAAGATTGTGGATCCCGTTTTCCACTAAATATGCACATTATTTTTGTTTATATTAACATTTTTTCAAAATAATTGAAAGCATTGAAATTAAAAACATTAAAAGCATTAAAAGCTTCAATCAAGATTGTGGCAACTTTTTTCCACTCAAGGTGTTAGGACCCGTCCCTGATTTTACAGTATTTTAATATCAAATGTGTGAAATGACTAAAAGGCCCTGGAGGCGAGAGTGTTGATTTCGTTGGCCGTCATGTAGCAACACATTTGACCCATTCTTCTAGTATATTCTAGTGGTATTCATCACTACGAAAGCGTGGGCACAAACAGAATCGATTTTGAAGTTACGATGATCGTTTTAGGGAATTACGAAGTTAGGGGGCAAAATAGTCAATTCATTATTCAAGATATTAGGGTTGGATATTTGTGTTATTTTAATAATTTTCTGGTGAGTTTTTTTGGCCAATGGGGTTCACACCCCACTTCTCCTCCTTCCCCGTGTCATTTTCTTGCCCAAACTCTTGGGGGACTCTTTTGAACCATTTCCCTTGTCTCTCTTTCCCTCATACTCTTTTTCATCACTCTCTCCCTCCTTTGTAAAACCCAAGAGGCACCTCCACTGGCCTTGCCACTCTGGTGAGTACCCCCACCACCAGCTAATCTTCTTCATCACGAACCCAAGCCAAGGCCTTGAACCACACCGTGGTAAAGGCCACTATTCACTTTCTCCTTCGTCAAACTCCATGCGAGTTGTCGACAATTCCGAAGAAGACCAATACGAGGGTAGCTCTCCCTGTTTTTTGGCGAGAACAACAATTTTTGCAGGCGGTTTTTGGCCACGTCTGGCCACCATTTGGCTTCCAAATTGGAGCGTTTGTTAGTAGCGACCCCATCCTCCCTAGTTTGAACGACTCTTCGGCGTCAGAGTAACTGTGGGTGGACCCCTTCTCAAATTGCATGATTTTATATAAATACTAGGATTGCATTCATGAGAAGCATGACTTCCTGATTTTACGCTTCATGAAAATATTTATGAATATGATTTTGTGATGATGCTTTAAGTTAGAAATTTTCTATGATTTGCGATATGAGATTTCAAGCTTTTGAGCTCCGATGATTTATGCGAAAGGTGTGGTTTATGATATGATGATTTGAGCTAGAACGCTCCTATGGATTTATTGTAAAACTCATTAGGATTAGAATTCATTTGTTACTTTGTTTGTATATGATAAGGATAATACTACAACTTGTTAAACTATAACTCTCATGTCTGTTTAGTGTTAGTACAAGAATTCTACCTGAAGAAGACATCTAGTTACTTGCACAAGGATCGCTCTTCTACTCAATGGAAAACCTTATGGTTCACTCTAGTAATGGATCTAGAATACTTAATGGAATGCACACTTTCCATGATCAAGGACCAATATATTTATAGAGTGATCATCTAACTGCCTACCACCCATTATGGACAACAGTTGATAATCTCAAGAACTTCTGCTTAATGGCAATCGTGGGTTGCTCCACTATCTCAATGTGTGTATCTTATAGTCCTACTTTCAAGGAATATGTTTTAACCTTATTATTAACTCTTAACCAACATTAACTGAAGATATATTGGAATTAGGCCTTATCATAATTTGTATAGTCCAAACTAAGTTCTTACATTCTCCCACTTTGGACTTTACAAATCATGTTTAATCATCAATATATGTTTCAACAACGCCAGTTCCTTAGTGATCACATGGGTCAATATGGTTCTGTAATTCCTCACACATCTGTCATGGCTAATTTATAAGTTTGAAACCTAGAAAATCTTGTGCAAAATTTAGCACAAGCACTTCAAAATTACATCCCTCTTTCATCAGTCACACATGATACATATACACGTTGAATGAATGAGAGTTCAAATATTATACTCCCACACAACATCCTTATGCCCTTTAATTAAGTTATCATACTTTAACTTAATCACCTTTTATGAGTTTATTGCCTTGGCATTCTCTTAAATCCAACAATGATGGTCTATTGCACCCTTAATGTTTATAGTACATGTTTGCCTATATGCATAACTTTCATGCAATATTTCAGTCTGAATGAAATATAGTTCCTAATGCATATTTATCTAAGCAATAGAGTTCATACATTTTCACGTACAAAAGTAAAGCAACAACACACAATCATGTACTGAAAATTTGAAACATACTAACTTTTACTCTCACGCTTCAATAGAATCAAATGACTCTAGCACTTCCATCTTTGTGACATGCTACTTGAAAATTCCCACTGCAAGAGGCTTTGTGAGAGGATATGCAATCATTGATGCAAAATCAATGTGTTCTATTGAAAACATTCCTTTCTTGACATTTTCCTTCATGGCCAGAAACTTCACAACCATAAGTCTTGTAGTTGAGGACTTCTTGTTGTTCTTGGAGTATAAAACTACTGAATTATTGTCACAATGACCAATGGTCTAGGGATTGAATCCACCACCATTAAAAATGAAATGATATTTTTTAGTAATAGCCCTTGTTCCATGACTTCGAAACAAGCGATGTACTCAGGTTGCATTGTGGATGTTGCTAGGGTTTTCTGTTTGGCTTCTCCAAGACACAACACCTCCAGATAGGAAAAATATGTACCCACTAATAGACCTTCGATCATCCACACACCTTGCAAAATCAGCACCTGTATACCCTAGTAGCTCCAAATTATCAACCCTTTTATAGACTAGCATGAAGCTTTTAGTTCTTTGAAGGTATCTCATTACCTTTTTAGCTGCTTTCCAGTGTTGTTCTCCAAGATTGGCAAGAGAAGCATATGGCTTGTGTTGCATGCTTTGTGTCTTTAGATTGTTCTTGGGGCACTGATTCTTGTTGAGTTTGTCTTTCTTTCCCATAGAGACTTCACTATTTAAACAATTATGCATATTAAATCTCCTTAAAACCTTTTATACAAAAGACTTCTGAGATAAACCTAAAAGATTTCTCTTTCTGTCTTGTATGATCTTTATTCCCAAAACAAAATATGCTTCTCCAAGATCTTTCATATCAAATGTTTGGCCCAGCACCCTTTTTATTTCCAGCAACAAGTTCACATCATTGCTAGCCAAGAGTATGTCATCAATGTAAAGCACAAGGAAAATGAACTTCGAACCACAAACCTTAATGTACAAGCAGTCTTCAATTTTGTTTTCTGTAACACCCAAAGTTGTGATTTTCTCTTCAAATTTAAGGAACCATTACCTTGATGCTTGTTTCAATCCATAAATTGACTTTCTCAACTTGCAAACCATTTCTTCATTTCCTTTTTCAATGAAACCTAAAGGCTTGTTGTATATAAATGTTTTCTTCCAAGTCTCCATTCAAAAAGGTTGTCTTGACATCCATTTGATGAAACTCAAGGTCGAAATGAGCTATCAATGACAATATGATTCTTCGTGAATCCTTGGATGACACTGGTGAAAAAGTGTTAGTGTAATCTATACCCTCCCTCTATGTAAAACCTTTGGCAACCAATGTTGTCTTATATCTCTCTATATCTCCATTCGAATCTCTTTTTGTCTTGAATACTCATTTGCATCCTATGGGCCTCACTGTTTCATTTGAGATACTCTCCTAGTTATCTCCTCTTTGTCTTCATTCTTAATAATGTCATTCATCGTCTCATCAACTTGCTCATGTTGTTCATGCTGCACAGTTTGCAACTGAGGAGGCCCACATTTGTAGTGGCTTCAGTTGTTATGATTTCATGCAAGGGCAACGATTTCATGTCAACCATTGTTTGTTGATTAGGCTTAGAAGACAATGAAGGCCTCACTTCCTCGAAGATGAACTAGGTTGATGTGAACAAGTTTGACCATCTTCATCTTCAAGGAACTTGGCATTGTTAGTCACAATAATTCTTGTGATCAAAGTGAAAGTATAAAATCTATATCCCTTGGACTTCTCTGGAAAACCAATGAAATTGCAACTCATTGTCCTTGAATCAAGCTTCTTTTTTGTGGGATTATACATCCTAGCTTCAGCTTTACACCCCCAATATGTAAGTGATTTAAACTAGGCTTCCTAGAAGTTCATATAACAAAAGGAGTCTTATCCACTAACTAGGTTGGGTCTCTATTTAAAATATAGTTTGCCATTTTTAATGCCTCTCCCTAAAGAAATATAGGCAAATTTGTGCGACTCATCATATATCTTACCATTTATTTCAAGCTTCTATTTCTTCTCTCTGCCACGCCATTCTAGTAAGGACTACCAGGAGTGGTGTATTGTGCTTGTATACCACATTCTTCCAAAACACACAGCCAATGGTCCCTTATGTTACCCTCCTCATAATACTTGCCATAGTACTCTTCCCCTCTGTCAGACCTCAAGATTTTAATGTTCATGTCTAATTG